CACCCACACCCCCCCCCACACCCCCACCCCCACCCCCACCCACCCCCACAGCCACACCCACCCACACCCTCAATATTTCTTTGAATGTATATGAAAATATCTTATAATTTCTAAATGATAGGGGTTATATATCATCATACACCGGTTTTAGTATATAATTGTTTTTTGAGTTTTAGACTTTCTCGCGAAACATAATGTGAAATTGAGTATTTGACCGTTGAGGATAGAAATTTTGCACCCCCACCCAACACCCTACCCACACCCATTTTTAGTTACTTTTTTAGGGTCAACTTTGATCTTCTTAAACTTGTTTTAGCTCGCGTTTTTCATAGATAGAACCAAATGCACTAATATTGTGGATTTAACTATAGTTTACCTAGACCTATCATTTAAGAAAATAAAATCGAAAAAACAATTTTCTTCGGCTACCTAGGGTAGTCCTCTCGCGGACCATCTATTAAGTGTTTCAAATGCTCTTTTGTCATTAAATATGTAGAGTGTAAGTGAAAGTATTATGAAGATAATTTTAAGTGTGAATATCATTTTGTGAAGTCAATACAAGTCATATGTTGAAAATAATATTAGTTAATCATAAAGTGAAGGTTTTTTTCTTGCAATAAATATAGTTCTCAGTTAAAACCATACGTGTCCTAATGATAATACATCACCGTTTTGTGCAGGTTCGAAAGGGTCGCTTGAATGTTTTGTTACAGAATGTTTTCTTTTGGCTGAGCGCTTCTTAAGACATGGTAGTAAAAACAGACGACCTTTTATATACTTCTTCCATGCAAATAATAATAATGATAGAGCTATAATTATTGTAAAGACTATAAATATTCCACCCATCGATGGAATATCTAGTGCGGTAGATATAGTAGTTGAAGACGGCGAACAAGTGCTTGATTGAAACCATTTTTGTTGTAAAGTATCAAGAGTACTTGATTCGCGTAGCCTTAGTATTTCTATGTCTAAAATTTGTGCATGGTTCCATCCTAAAGGTGTCACAATACCAAATTTACTTTGATCAAAAGGTTCACCGACTAAAGTTAAATTACAATATATATTATTCGTCACATATTGACCAACACCACTATCGATAAAAGAGACATCAATGATATTTGCTAATAAAGCATTGTATGTTGCTTGTTTCAATGATGCTAATGGATGAAAATTGTGTGCACCATTGGAGATTTGTTGTAAATAAAAACTTTCACTAGCTGTACCTACACGAATACCAATACGATTAAACGGTATCTTCCCAGCTTTGAGATCATCAAGTCCTGAAATAGGATACTGGTTTTTTTGTATTGTTAAATCAGATGCCAGGTTTGCAGTATATGATGCCACTAATACAATACTTAATAAATATAAACCACAAGTTAATAAACGTCCAGCAGCTGTACTCGCGTTAAACTCTACACCATATCCGACAATATTTCCAAAACAGTACCACCAACTCATTGCGCATAGAGAAATTATTGACATATTCTGTAATGCTTCATTTGTTTCTCGTTCTAACAAACATATTATAATACCAGCAATAATAGTAATAGCTATGCTCAATAACCAAAGATTACGTGAAAATGGTTTCATGAATCCAAACAAGGCGTAACTAACAGAAGGAGTATTTCGCATAATAATGTATAAAGAATTATCAAATATTGATTCTGAAAAACCGACTATCTTTCGCCTTTCAGCAGTAACCGTTACATCACCCACTACTATATCATAGTCACCATTCGCTACTTTTTGAATTATTTGATTATAGGTTAGATTTGATGGTACCAATCGAATATCTGGGGTAAATCCTAAATCGGTTTGTAATTGAGAAATAAGATCAGGTACAAAACCAGTTAGCGATGGTGTGGTCTGCACCGATGAATTTGTTGCATTATCAACTATTGTGAATGGAGGTACTGATATTACACCAATTCGTAAAGTTGCACCAATAAGTGTTGCAATACTACCAGGAGTTGTTAATGAATTACCTGGCCAGATAATCACATGTGCTTCTGAATACGGTTGCCAAACTCCATTTCCATTATAGGTCAATACTGGTACAAAAACTGTACCATTTGAACCAGGTTGAGCGTTTTGTGCAAAATAATATGCACCACCTATTCGATCAGTTGTATTAACATTAAATTGTATAGAACCTGATACACCAAGAAAACTCATATTATTAATTATATCAAACCATGAATTCGAATTGCGAAAACGACGATAAAAACAAAATGGAGAACCATCAAGTGACATACACGAGAAAGAATTATTAGTTGTTGGTGAACAAAGTTGTTCTAATGCTTGAATCAATAGCCAAGTTGTATCGAATGCAAACAGCGCATAATTATTTATATTTGTTATTCCAGGAAATGTTTCACTCTCATATTGTTGCCATATATTACAGGCTGCATTTAGCAATGTTGTATTAATTGGGGCACCAATAGTACTTGCTACTGCAGGTTCTACAGTAAGCATTCCAATTAATTGTTGAGAAAATTTTGGATCGAAAGAGTTTAATGGAATGCTTGAACTTAGTATCCAAGTAAATTTTGGACCAAGTACATTAAAAGCAAGTGCATTTTGTAAAATTAAAGGTGTAAAAGTGGAAGTAGCCCATAATACAACAATTCGAGATGAACTACTGATTAAAATGCTACTCAAATTACCTTGAATACTATGTGTTTCAATATCGAATACCACCATTGTCGGTACTTCTAAATCATTGCTAGTTAACGCATCTTTTATTGCATTTGCGCCACCAGTTCCAAATTGATCGTTTTGATAAATAACTATGCATGAAGTCCAATTAAATCGCATAAGTAGTTTTGCAATGGCTTTTGCAGCAGCTCTATCTGAAGGAACTAAACGATAAAAAGCAGGATATGTATTTCGATCAGACAAAGAAGGATCAGTTGCAGCATATGATATAGCAGGAATACCGACTTTTGCACCAAATTCAGCTATAATAGGAGTTTCTCTTGATAATGATGGACCCACAATACCAAAAATATTAGAACTAGATAATGCTTGACATACACCACTAACAGCAGTAATTGGACTGCCACCAGTTTGCACAGTTTGCCATCCTATGTATTTTCCTTCAATTGCTATATTATATTGTTGAGAAAGTAAAACTGCTGCCTTGAACATAGCGCGAGAATGAACTGACAAAGCCGTAGAGTAAGATGTATTTTCTGCATCTTTAAACAGACCTACTAG